CAGCACCATCACCATCTTCCCCATGAAAATAATAAAATCTAATAAATCAAACCTTGGGGCCAATCCTGTGAATGGCTTTTAAAATTATAGATCACAATTGTGTGTGTTTACAAAAACAACAACAATAACAACAACAAAACACCCTCTATTTTACCTCTTTAATATGATGCTTAATAAGCACCTGTAAATTATCTGTGTAGCAAATATCCATACAAAGAAAGTTTCAATTAAGATAAGGAGACTGTATTGAAACAGTTCTTTGAAGTAATGTAGTTAATAGCCTGTTTGATTTCTGCTTGTGAGAGAGTAATAACGTGGATTCAAGGCTCCATCAATCACAGAGCAGATGTAAGACTTGAGACACCGACACCCAGGGGAATAGAGGCAAACTCCTGCCGTGCAGGGTCCCTAGGCTAATGTAAAGTAAATACTCATAAACAGATTGAATGTTGTAAGAAGACAATCCATTCAGGACAGTTATAATCATGAAAGCAACTGCTTTATTTATCTATAAAAAAGCTTGTAGCTGGGACTCACTGTGTATAAAAGAGGAGTGGTAGAAAAATAAAAGCAGTATATGTTTATATGACCCACTATTTCTAGGCTCTTATGTCAAAACACAGGAATCTATACCCACACATCTATATTCTTGCTGCTTTGCTAGCCAAAGATCCAACTCTGTTTTAAGTTACTTGGTTTATTTAAAAGGTAAAAAATTAAAAATTATTCTCACCCCTCAAGAGGGTGAGGGAGCAGTGGACACATTATTCAGTGTCTATGAATTGTTTCATAAAGGATCAGGAAGATTAAGTTGGTTGCAAAAACCAGCAGTGACATAATTAGGCAGTTTGGACTATAATAAAAGGGATAATAAAAAAAAAAAGTACAGTTTTAAGAAAGAAGGAGACCATTTCGAAAATTCAAATCTCTCTGCGGACCTCTGGGCCTCCCCCTCCCCCAAATTGCAAAAGACAACTGAAGCATTTTTGACCTTGGCTACAATAATACTTCATGTTTTAGCACTTTAGTCAGCATTTTATCTACTAATTGCTACACACTACCGCATGTGGCTCGAATCTGCCACTGCAGCTTTCTTTCATTGGTGGGTGAATTGCTTGATAAAGACTAGGAATTCAACCTGGCTGTTTCCTTTCTTGCTCCCCCTCACCCCCTACCCCCTTTTCTCTCCTCTTCCAGCTAGAAGCAGCTAATTTTTCCAGAAGATACCGCACGGATCATAACAGGGCCGGTGAATGACTCCCTCATTTCCTTCCACCGGTTAAACTCGGATCACTTTGGCGATCGGGAGGCAAAGGGAGGAGGTGAAGGGGAGTGGGAGGGGAGAAATGAGTGGGGCGCAGCGCGGTGAGGGTGGATCCTGGCCTGTTAGTGGATCTGATGCTAGGTGATTCTGCACATTGGTTCTTTGGCTACTCCATCGCTGCCTGGAAGTCCGTGGGACTCCGCGCTGCCCACCTGGGGACCTCGAGTTAGGGGCTCTCTCCCATCCTGCATGGTCAAGAAGTCTTGGGTTCGACCGGGTAGCCCCCAGAGTCTGCAGACTGATTCGTGGGTTGAAAAGCCAGCGCTGTCTGAGGGTCAGCCATCGCCTAGTCCCCTCCCCCTTGCAAACCTGGCGCCATAGTGATCGGTGGGGGTGGGTGGCGTTATTAATAAGGCGGCCTCCAGCAGAGCAGGCTTGCCAAGTCTTAGTGCAACAAGTCTATTGGTTTAAAGGAGGATAAACCGGGTTATACGGGTCATTACTTTCCAGGAGACCTCTAGTGGTCAAAGGTTGAGCTACATCTTAAATATGGGGCTCCTATTTGTCGCGTCTCCCGGGCTATGGTGGGGGATAGGTCTCCAACTCAGGTCAGGTAGTAAAGGCGGTAGCTACGGATAGATTTCTCATGGACTTGAGGCCAGGACCAAGAGAGAAGCAGGGAACTCGGAGAAAGAGATCCCCAGGGAAGGGTCATATGGTGCCCCAAGTTCCTCTGCCCTTAGAGATAGAGACTTCCTATTTCATCTTGATTTTCCTCCCAGGGCCTGAAATTAATCAAGTATTCTCAGGGAAGCTGAATTAAATTTGCTCAAGTCATTTCCAGTTACAATAGCAATGCGAAGTCTATTTATTTTTTTCTAATTTGTTTGTAAATTAAAGCGAAGTCCTCCTCCCTCACCCCAATCACAAACACAC